AAGTAATAAGTAGCCCTTTTTAACTTCCTGCAGCTGGGCATGAGGTTCCCTTAGTACGAGGGAGATGAGGCTATACTTCACCATGTGCCACCCTTTGTGGGTTTAAAACGGATTGAAATTTGATATTTCTCTCAAACATGCAGATTTCCTCACGATATTTTCTTTCACCTTAAGAAAAGTAGAAATCAATGTTGGAAATGATTCACAATAAGAATAATAGAAATGGGAGACCCGGGATCTGAACCCGCTTCACTCGGTTTCCCAACGCGCGTTACCATTGGGCCACCTCTGCCTTATTTAATATCATGAAGTACTAATCTTTACTATATTTTTATTTAATTATGCATTTTCTCGTCGTCGTGTTAGAACTAATCTTTATATCTTACATCCCACGAATGGGCGTGCGCTTGTGTATTTTACCCTATATCCAAGTGATGTAAGAATTGTCTTTCTGATGATTACTTTGAATGCTGGAATATGGCATATTGAAGGATCGAGTGGCTGACTTTCCTCCATTCTTTCATAAATATCCTTTACACTAGGAATTTTAAAAGTTAAGAAATATGATTAAAATACTGATAATCGGTAAAAAAACATTTCAAATGTTTTAATTATTTCCTTCAACCAATAGGTTACTTAACTTTATATATATCTATGAACTAAATTTGAACTAAAAAAATATGTATCATCTGCAATAAGGCAGATGATAAGCAAGTGTATGAAATAAAAAAGGTTTTTTGTTTTTTGCATTTTCTCAGAAGATTTACTACAGTAACATATATTTTTTTTCACCATCGGAAAGTAGAGATTTCAACGAACAGAAAACATACCAACTTTTTGAAAAAAGCTGATATTTTGACGGGTGAATTTTCGATTGAAAATTAGGGTGCTTTTTCGATATTAATTCAAAATAAGGTGAAAAAATATTTTTTTTTAATCAAATAAATTACAGCGTATTTGGGACATAAAAAGGTAAGTTTTACCAAATTTCGTTAAAACAAAAACATTTTTGTAAAAGATAAAAATAAAAAACCAAAAACTTGGTTTTTTGAATTTTTCACATAAATTTTGACGTTATGTGAAAAAAGTGTAAATAAAAAAGTTTTAGATATTTTTATTACCTACAACTTTGCCATTTGACTCTTTTCGATAGGACTTTTAGTTTTGCCGGAAATCGAGAAAAACCGTTTTTTACCCTTAAAAGCTCACCCCCCCCCCCCACCCCCTTCCCGACCTCAGATCGCCCGTAAATTATTTTTCCTTTCATTTTTATAATATTACCCTCCTTTTCTAATGGGTTGCATCCTACTATTATTTTTTTTGGTTTCAAAAATTATCGACTCTGGTCTATTAATTGACATTAAAATTAAAGAATATAAAACAAAATATAAAAAGCTAAGGGTTGTAAGGGCAGGGCTTTATAATCATTCATCTTGTAAATGGCCCGTGTACGACTAAAACATTTTTATAGCGGCAACTACTTTCTTACTTTTACTTGTCCGCTACCCCTACTTATTATTTAAAAAACAACAGACAGACAGAGAGATAAAAAAATCTAAAAACTATAGTTTTGGCCTCTATATCGATAATAATGTCTATTACAATAAGATTTTCCAAAAAATTCGGATTCGGCTTAGTTACAATTTTATTTTATGAGTAGCATTGCCCGCGGCTCCGCCCGCGTTCAGATGACCAAAAACTAAATTCTTAGGTTTTACATATTAGTATACTCTTACATTGTAGTTTTTGTATTTTTTCTCAGAAATGAGATATTTTCCCGCTGTAAAAAGTATTATAAATGTTGACTCGGATAACCAGCTATTACCATACCAAATTTCATCAAAATCCCTCCAGTAATTTTTCTGTGATTCGGTAACAGACAGACAGATAGACAGACAGAAAGATAAAATTCTAAAAACTATAGATTCAGCCTCTGTATCGATAATAATGTCTATTTTAATAAGATTTTCTAAAAATTATTTATTCTACAGATTCGGCTTAGTTACAATTTTATTTTATGATAGATTAAACCTAAACTAGAACTAGAGGTTCGAATGATGAAAGTATTAAATTGGCTTTTTTAACTCAAGTAAAATAAGCCACATTATCATAAATGGTGTCGAGGGTAGAATATCGATGGAGTAAGGAAGATCGAGCTTTATTTTAAGAACAAATAATGGCATTATATGGTAACTCCCACGAGCATTGTCGACCCAATGTTAGATTTGTAACCGATGTATAAAACTGACACAATATATACAAAGTAAATTGAATCGTAATACGAAAGTCAAATTATGTATATTTCTCTGAACAAAAAGTGTGCTTTTGATTTTGTTATTTTTCCTTTGCTACAGCACTCTATAGTCTACTGGGATATTAAGAATAACTGGACGTAATATTATTTTCAATTCAGAACAAAGAGAGTGTAACTGTAAAATCATTATCTTTTATTTTGTTTATAAAGTCATTCACCTCAACCAGTAGAAAACTGGAATATAGAAGGACATGAAGCCATGAACTTCTACTAACATAAATAACTAATAGTTAGCCAAAGCATATACTGAATGCGAGTAGACTAAATAGAAAAGAAAGAAGAAACTAAAAGTGAGTAATTTATGTTAGTAAATATGAAATTTTCAAGGGTGATGGATAGTGATTAGTGAGCAAGTAGCCCTGATTTAATAATATAGTTTAAATGACTCTCAATATCATTTCATTATATATCATATCATAATTATAATAACATATCATATATTATCAATAAATAATACTCTGTTATGATCTTTTTTAAAGAAATCTTGAGTATGTAATGTAAAATATTTTATTATCTTTGCATATCATTTCAAATTTAAATCAACGTATATTACAACAAAAACATTCATTATATGATCATAAATATAAAAAGTTGTAATCGTATTCCGCTCATGCCTAAAATCTCACTTTATGTAAAATTTTATTAAGCTTGGATTAATTTATAGCCTTAGATACATATTGTTGCATATCCATCTGGATTATTTGGGCTTAGACAAGATGTCATTCTATAATCTATAATCTATACATATAATAAAATTCTAACTAAGCCGAATCTGTACGTAAAATATTTTTTGGAAAATCTTATTGAAATAGACATTATTATCGATACAGAGGCCGAATCTATAGATTTTAGAATTTTTGTCTGTCTGTCTGTTACCACCGCATCATGGAAAACCCACTAGAGGGATTTTGATGAAATTTGGCATGATAATAGCTGGTTATCCAGGCCAAAATATTACGGATACTTTTTATTGCGGGAAAATATCTCATTTCCGAGATATCTATACTAAACGTTAAAACGCACGTAGGTCCACTAGGGTGCAACAAAGCTAGGATGAGTCGCTAGTGTAGTTGAATAGAAATCTAAAAACAATTATAATTCAATTCCTTTCTTTAGTGGTTTCCACGAATGCCAGTTGGGCACAATTTACCTCGCCAATGTCGCGTAGAATGGAGAAAACACGTTATAATTATTGTATGTCTATGACATAACAAATTGTCATTTCAGTACAATTTTTCTGTCGTTAAAAAATAACAAAGATAATTGTCAATCTAGTTATCAATCCATGATAAGGAGAGTTAATGGGAAATTGCCTTGAGTGAGAAAGAGACAGAACACTTTGCAGAAACTAGAATGTCCTTTATTTTATATACATATAGAGGTGGTAGTTGGATATAATATGATGATTGATAATTATGTATAGGAAATCGAGTTAAGATTGAGAAGAAATACGAAGTTAAAAGTGAAGTAGAGTAAAGTGTTAGTGAAAGTGAAACTAGTGGACGGAAATACTGTTCAGTGACCAAATATGTTGTAAGATTGCATGCACCATGAAAGAGAGGGATCAGCTTTAATTTCCGATCTCATAACCTAAGCTCGTAGAGTGACTAAGAAATAAGAGGTAGTAACAATATAATTTAAAAATAAGTTTTTTTTAAATGAATTTAAGCAAAGTAAGATAAGGCTGAAGCCTAAATAAGGATATTTTATATAAAAAACGCGACAAGATTTTTCGTTAGACAAAGGTACCGGATCAAGGTCAACAACTACCATCTCAGGCGTCTGTAGAACAAATCTAGACAATAATATAGTGTAACACTTCCATATAATTTATTATTACTTTGCAAATTATTTTAAAGGTTATTCTTACAAAAAAACGGGCCAAGTGCGTCGCGCCAAGCGCAATGTAGGATTCCGTATAGCCTGGAGCAAATTTTTGGTGTCATGTTTTCCATGGTGATCCTGGGTCATGTTTATTAATATGTTTTATGGTTTAAAAATATATATATTTCGCCTGGAAAAAGACTGAGGGGTTCCACCATATAGATCGGGATTTTAGACGTTAAGCACTCATTTTTTCATACGTCTTATATATCTAAATAAAATTCAGTTACAGTACAATTTTGTCAATCAATTCATTTTCGCCTGCAATTAATTCGCCTGTTCATTTCGTCTGCCATACCCATGTATAAGCCTCGACTTATACCACCCAAATCCCTTCGACACCTACGGATGTCCATTAAAATCGGCTAAGCCATTTTTCATCATTCTTTTCTAAAAGCTACTTTTGAGCTAGTTTTAGAGTAAATTCTCTATCAGCCAGTGATCCTCATTAAAATTGTTTCCATAATTTCGGAGATTAGCAAGTACAAGATAGCTGACAAAACTTTTAATGATTTGGGCATGTGCACAGTGAAAATTACCAAATGAGTTTAATACGACGTATTTTGAAATTATAGTCAGGACAGTAAAATTTTATTTATAAATTCTTTAATATAGACATAGTATAAAACTAATTTAAAATCGGTTGATCAGTTTGGGCACTACGGTGCTATAAGACAGACAAACAGATACACAGATTCCACTCTTTTACATCGGGGGTTAAAAAATAATATAATTTGAAGAAAGAATTTATTTTGAAAACTAAGTACATTTTATATTTTCATAAGTATTTTTTTATTGTTTAAGCACCCATAGGCCCACTACACATAGTGGCGCACATTTGCTGCGTTGCAAATCGGTTCAAGTTGCCTCCACAGCCACTATACGAGAAGCCTTTACAACGTCGCGTTGTAATATCAAAATACCATCTGAAAAATCGGACAGCAATTGAATTGGAAGTGAAAATATATATTTTATTTTAAATGAAGGAAGGATTCTAAATAAATTTCCAATTCTACAATATTATATTTTGAATAATATAGTATGAGTGAAATATGCTTTAATAAATATGTAAGTAAATAAGTAAGTTAAAACTAAAACTGTGTTCTTGTTATTTTCAAAAAAATATTTTTTCTAACCGGTACCAGACCCCGATGTATTTTAATAGTAAAATGTTTTTTTTTTTAATCAATTTCATAATTACTTTTACAAATACTGATTGAATAAACAAATTATACTTCTTTATAGAGTTTAGTATAGGTTTCTCAGAGATGACATATTTTGCCGCAGTAAAAAGTATCTTACGAGTATATGTTGACCCGGATAAACAGCTATCATCATACCCAATTTCATCAAAATCCCTCTAGTGGTTTTTCCGTGATGCGGTCACAGACAGACAGAAAAAAGACTAAAAACTATAGATTCGGCCTCTGTATCGATAATAATGTCTATTTCAATAAGATTTTCCAAAAAAACATTTATGTGCAAATTCGGCTTAGTTACAATCTTATTATATGTAAAGATAATAATCCCTCCACGACCGCGGACAGGCCGGCGTTACAGTTAACAATCGATTTCTTAGAAATTCAACTAATTTCTTAGAAATTTACCTGGAGGTGATAATATTAAAATCAAATCCTTGGTATTTATACTTATTTACCTACAAAAAATATTATTCAAGTTCGATTAACACTTACTTAGGGTGATATCCATCACAACTTCCAAAATCAAATTGCAGGCGACAAATTATTCTCAAAGAAAGATTTCCCGAAAGTCTGTGCATTCCAAAATCTGCATAAATCATGTTTAATTAAAAAATCCATTAGTAAATTTCTTGATTACTTTAGTTCGACGCGGCAGTATTAAATACTGATTTACCACTAATGAAAATTTTCTTTAGAGCAATTTTTTAGATTCATGGCTTTGCTGGTAAATGGCTAAAAGGCACACAGGAACTATTGAAACTTGTACATTTATATATTAGTGAGAGGGAATGCTTGTTCAAAAAAAAAGTCACAGGGAAAATTCTTCCATAAGGAAGTTTATATTGACAAGCAATATGTAACATTTCAATATTTATGGAGTTAAAATGAAGTCACAATGTTCTCTCTCTTTCCCCCTCCATCTTTCTCTCTATCTTATCTCTAAAGGGAATCATTAACTTATAAGGATACTAAGCACTAGTAATACCTCTACATGTATTATGACACTCTGAAAGTGTCCTAAACGCATTCAAGTTATGTGGACAACTTCCCATGTACGCGGTTTTGCAGTCCTCCAATTTTGTATCATAGTAAAATCTACAAGAATAACAAATATTACTTAGCTCTATAAACAAAATTCAAATTTGTTGTAAAACATGGCGTGCCTTAGTCGGCTCATATGCCGTGACGGCAAACGACATGACGCTGTCACGCCATCATGTCCTTTCTACGCTAACGCCTTCGACTATCTTGTGTGTGAAAATAACAAGAAAAATAAATTTATTTTATTTACAAAACTCTGTTTTTCTTTATTTTACTCCATATTTCGTCATAGGTTTTTGTTAATTATGAATTCTAATATTATTATAGATGTAACATCTGCAGGGCGTCCCGTGACGGCCATCTTTAAAAAAAAACTAGAAGAGAATTTCGTTACATAGATTTCTGGTTAGAGAGAGAGACAACACTCTTTTACTCGTTACTTCTTGGCACCTTTGTATCTCAATTGCTAGCGTCTAGCATGTAGACAGGGCTTACTATATTTTATTTTAGTAACTGGTTCTTGAAGGATAACTAAATGAACGACTTAATATAAAGATTTTGAAACAGAAATTCTTCAAACAAAACTAAAAACAGTGAAGACGAACAACTTACTTTGGCAAAGTTATACCGGAATTATCACAATCGTAGCCATTTGGTTGAAATTTACAGAAAATAATCGGATCTAAACTCTCGAAATCTATACCTGTATAAACAATTATTATTATTTTAATATTACCATAATACTGGATTTACATTTTTCTTGAGATTGAATTATTAGAGTGTTACTAAAAGTTGATAGATGATCAGTTTCTGGATATTATGATTATTATTGTTATTTCAAACTTTTTACACTTTTATAATATTACTAGCGACTCACCCTCGCTTCGCTCGGGTTTGTCCCTAGGTTGATTCCCCATACAAACTGCCATCCCCATTTTTACCACCTTAAAGCATGATTTCCGGGATAAAAAGTATCCTATGTCCTTCCCCGGGTCTCAAACTATTTTTTTACCAAATCTAATCTAAATCGGTTCAGTAAATCCAGAGATTATCCCCTACAGCATCACAAGCTCACAATTCACAAACTTTACCTCTTTATAATATTAGTATAGATTATTTTATTTTAATTAATTATTATTCTGAAGAAGAGTCTGGAGTCTATTATATCTTAGTGTCCAAAATATTATGTATATATACTCACCCTCTGTATTAGCCGTGGTATATTTTTCCAAATACAGTATTATAATTGAAAATTTGAGATATAAGCTTAACATTTTTTTAATTTTACGTTTCAATCAAAAGAAAGTACACTACTACTCATAAATCACTTTTATGATCACAATATTTAATTATTCCATGTTATTACATTCCAAAAATGAATTGTGAAGCAAACTATAAACTTAAATTTTCCGATAAACTGTTAAATCAATAACTTATGTTCGTCTCATTTTTAAATAAAACTATCTTTTCGGATTATTTCGCGGATTTATTTTGATTTTTGGTTCCCGACGTTTCGAATGCTTTACAGCATCCATGGTCACGGGAGAGACTGAGGTGTTACATGTCTTAAAGATATAGTTGTTACAGACAGCCTACCCACAATTAACAAAATGAAAATTGCACCAATTACATTACAATATTTTTAACTTTAAACATTTTTTATAATTTTAATTATAATTGAATATGGAAAATTATTTATTTAATTTTTGCTATTAATTTTATAATTATTACAATTTTAAAAATATTAATTAGTAATCTATATTTAGTGTTGCCATTATTATATTTATAACCATAAATAAAAAATATAAAAATATAGTATTAATTATTAAAGCCATATAATTGTTCTATGTGTAATTTAAAAAGTTAAAATTAATTACGGATAATCATTTTAATTTAGTTTGCTATTATTTAAAAACAACTTACTAAGCAACACTATTAATATATACTTTTACAAATGAAAAATATTAATCTGATAAGCTGTCATTTTGATCTACACAGTATGAACTTACTACATCTGCCTGTCTGTTATGTTTATATTTATTATTTGATTTTATTATATCAATAACAGGATCCCATGACGATGGTAGTACCCAGCCATCTTCCCTATTGAAATTTGGATGTTTTTTAATTTCTATGGCTTCTCGAATCATTCTAGGGCGATATCGGTTTTCTTTCGCCAGGATTTGAGGTCTATCGAAACGAATATAATGGCTTGGGCGGTCCTGGCTATGTTTGCAGACAGCAGATGTTGTATTGCGACGGTGCTTCACATCAGCTATGTGTTCTTTGACCCGGGTTCTAATGGATCGTTTTGTTTGTCCAATGTAAGAGAGCCCACAATCACAATCAAGCTTGTAGACTCCTGCATCTTGTAGAGGGATGTGGCACTTGACAGGTGGTAAGAACTGACTAATTTTCTTTGGCGGCTTGAAGTAAGTTTTAATTGAAGCTCGCTTTAGAATGTAGCCAATCTTGTCAGTGACTCCTTTCATGTATGGCAAGACTGCAGGGACGCGCTCGACTGTGGCTGGTTTCACTCGGTCACTGTGACGCAGGCGCGGCACTTGCAGCTTGTTGTCACGCAGAACTTGCTTGACATGTTGCAGTTCTCCGGCCAGGTGTTGCTCGTCACAGATCCCGCGCGCTCTCTGAAACAGAGATTTTCCCACGGTAGCTAACTGTGAAGGATGGTGGTGAGATTCACCGTTCAGGTACCTATCAGTATGGGTCTTCTTTCTATACACAGTATGACTCAAGGTGTTATCTGGGTTACGTTTAACTAATACATCTAGGAAAGCTAAGGTTTTGTCCGATTCTAATTCCATTGTAAATTGAATTTTAGGATTTATAGAATTAAGGTGTTCTAAGAATACAGTTATTTTATCAGAAGGTAATATTGTAAAAGTGTCATCTACATACCGCTTGTAGAAACGAGGGGTCACGGGTGATGTGTTCAGAGCAGTCTCCTCGAAGTCCTCCATGAAGATGTCGGCTACGACGGGGGAGACTGGCGAACCCATGGCCACTCCATCCACTTGCCTGTAGAATTCACCATTCCACAGTAGATAGCCGGATGTTAGGCAGTGTTTTAAGAGTTCAATGTATTCTATTGACATGTTGTGATCTAGTAGCTTCCTAGATATTATTTCAATACAGTCTTCCACTGGTAGGCTGGTAAATAAAGACTGTACATCGAAACTAACCATTGTTTCATTGTCCATGAGTTTTAGGTGTTTAACTTCATTGACAAAATGGTAAGAGTCCTTTGTGAACGCTCTTGTTAATCCTCTGAGTGGTGAGAGTACTTTTGCTACTAGTTTAGCCAATTTGTAAGTCGGTGAGTCGATTTGACTCACAATTGGACGTAGCGGAGCGTTAGTCTTGTGTATTTTCGGAAGTCCATACAACTTAGGTGGTTTTGCACATGATGGAATAAGATTTTTAACATCAAGATTTAATGTGTCGGAGTGTTCCTTAATTAGCTTTTTAGTATTATTTAAAACGGTGGTAGTTGGATCCGTTTTAACCTTTTTGTACGTGCTCTCGTCCGACAAAAGTTGTTTTATTTTATCATTATAATCTGATGTATCCATCACAACGGTTGCGTTTCCTTTGTCTGCGCGTAGAACGGTGATGTCTGACCTATTGCGTAGGTTCTTCAACGCTAAATACTCTTGTTTATTGAGATTTGGTTTGGGCCTAGTACTACGACGTAATAAAGACGAAACATCTTGACGTATGGCCTCCATATCCTCAGTTTTCATAATATTTTGGGCCAGGGCATCTTCAACTGCGCAAATAATGTTTTCATAAGGAATGCGCGTAGGCGTTACAGCAAAATTCAAACCTTTATTTAGTACCCGAATGGTAGGTTCGTCTAACGTTTGTTTTGACAGAATGACAACCCGAGGTCCGCACGAGTGTGTATCTGTGGTAGACGGGCACGTTCCGTTATACTCTATGGTTTTCTTTTTCTTTTTGATGTTTAATTTTTCAACGAGTTTTTGATATTTTAAAATATGTTTAATTTTGCACTGATTATATTTGGTTGTTTCACGCTTATTTAAAGTGTCAATGCAATCGTTGAAATCAGATGGTGTCAATACTGTCTTAACAATATTAGACGTCTGTTCAATGTCCCGGTCGTTTCTGCGTAGATCGCGACGATAGACATGTAACACCTCAGTCTCTCCCGTGACCATGGATGCTGTAAAGCATTCGAAACGTCGGGAACCAAAAATCAAAATAAATCCGCGAAATAATCCGAAAAGATAGTTTTATTTAAAAATGTCAAACATTCGCGTAAATCTAAGAAAGTATTATGTTCGTCTCACTTATGTTCGACTCACCCTCGCTTCGCTCGGGTTTGTCCCTAGGTTGATTCCCCATACAAACTGCCATCCCCATTTTTACCATCTTAAAGCATGATTTCCGGGATAAAAAGTATCCTATGTCCTTCCCCGGGTCTCAAACTATTTTTTTACCAAATTTAATCTAAATCGGTTCAGTAAATCCAGAGATTATCCCCTACAGCATCACAAGCTCAAAATTCACAAACTTTACCTCTTTATAATATTAGTATTGATTATTTTATTTTAATTAATTATTATTCTGAAGAAAAGTCTGGAGTCTATTATATCTTAGTGTCCAAAATATTATGTATATACTCACCCTCTGTTGTATTAGCCGTGGTATATTTTTCCAAATACAGTATTATAATTGAAAATTTGAGATATAAGCTTAACATTTTTTTAATTTTGCGTTTCAATCAAAAGAAAGTACACTACTACTCATAAATCACTTTTATGATCACAATATTTAATTATTCCATGTTATTACATTCCAAAAATGAATTGTGAAGCAAACTATAAACTTAAATTTTCCGATAAACTGTTAAATCAATAACTTATGTTCGTCCTGCAATAGCCGAAATATCTTGTATTGCTTTTTCAAAGAACTTCTTTTCGAATTCTCGTGTAATAGCTTTCTTTACGTTTTCTATAATCCAATTAATCATCCACTTTTGTTGTATTATTGAAAGTGATCGATGTAACTGTACTTGATAGTCCAAACGATTTTTTACAGCTCGGAATACTTGCATGTATCTCTCTCTATATATAGCTTCTAACTGCATTGCAATATGTTCCTTCTTAGCATCCATTAATATTTTTTGTCCTTCAGCTCTCCATTGAGCATCTTTTGCATCTTTGATTACATTTTCAAAAACACTCATCTCATCTTTCTTATCCTTTTCTAAATTATTAACAAATTCATCGATATCTTTATCGAGGAATTTTGCAAAAGCAGGGCCTAGTCTCGTTGACACAAAATAAAGCATTGGAAATATAGACAAACTTGTGTAGTATTCATGATCCATTACAAATATTTCTTTGCTGAATAAATAGTTGGCAAAAACTATGCCAAAAATATAAGGCCCACTCACACCAGTTTTAGAATGAAAGAATAAGAACCACTCTTCAGGTAAAAATCCAAAACGTACTTTACCAGATTTTAAAGCTCGTTTTAAGCCTGGAGATGATGGAGGAGCTCCGTCTGAGGGACCTTTAGAATCACTTTTCGGGGCGCAGATTGATGGTTTTTGCTGTTCTTTTTGTTTATGTAATGTAGGACATGTCGCCGTATGAGTTAATAATAAAGGCTGACCTAAAAGTCCTTTTGGAAATCTTAATTTTATTACTTTATAAATCAGCATTTTCGCAAATTTTGTATTAGATAAATTAATTTGAGCCCCTGTCAATTTAATTTTGACATCAGCATACAATCTCTTTTATTTATTTTTTTATATTTATAAAATTGCTAAAAAATAGTTCATATACAGTAATTGTCGATTATAGACAATTTAAAATTATAGGTTATATTTCCTATAGAATAAATACTGTTGATACTATAAAAAAATAATATGCGAATAAAAAGACTATATCTTAGGTTCGACATTCATCTACATTTAATTTACTTGAATTCTAAGTCAAAACAGTCCACAAATATAGTGTGTAGGATTCTATTTCGAAAAAAAACTCCATAATGCGTTTCGCTGAAATAAATAAAACAGGAATTAAATCAGACAAAAGAAATAATAAGAAAATATGTTTATTAACTATTCATCATATTACATCTCCGAGTACACAATTGCATATAAATAACAAATGTCATATATTACTGTTGAGAGGTAAAAATAATGTTATAGATTGAATAATACAGTCAAAGATAAAAAATTGGTCACCTCAAAATTATATCTTGACCTTCTTCCTATTGAATATCACTGTTTATTATTGTAACTTATTCTAAGTCGCATCGCGTTGTCGCTTATAGGCGGTATTTGGCAGCGCGGAGGATAGGGTATTTGTCACCCGTGCAGAGGCCACGGAAGTCGTCCATTGAAAGGTCAACGATGGATACACCGCCAAGATTCTTTGATCTGGAAAATATATATTATTAGAGCTATTGTAATGTAGATTTTTTTTTTTAAGTTTAGTGGTATGTACAGTAGTATTAAGATTTTTTTTTAAATAAACCTTGTATAAGCTTAAGTAAGTTTGCTGGAATGTAAAATAATAAAATGATTTAACTTTTCTCATCAAAATAGGTAAATATTCAGTATAGGGAAGGTAAAAAGTAGATAAAAAATATTTCGATGTGAACGTAGCAAACACTTAGCTATTCGATTTCCGCATTGATTAAAAAGACCAATAGCACATCCATCGCACAACCCACTTTAATCAGCCAATAGTCCGGCAATTTCATCATTCTGTCCGTTTTTTGCCCGCAGTTTCATCGAGATTCATATCAACGAGACCAGATTGAACTGTCATTCAATATCATTTACGGTATAAATGATTTCCTCTTATTTTATTACTTACTACCGTACAATTTTAATAAGTAATTGTAGCAAAATAGTAAAAAAATATTATATTTATTAACAAGCATATTTATAAATACATGTAAGTATATTTTTTACTATTATATTCCTTATGAAATTTATATTTTTGTATTACTAATATATGTTTAATGTGTGTATAGTCTTTCAATTATCATCCATATTAGGTTTTGGGCAACCAAAAATAACCAAATAATTTGGCACATCCAAAAAAAGTGTTGGAAAATAGAAAAAATGAAATACAAATTACACATATGTTTAACTATAATATTATAAATTGTATAGTGAAATAATACTGTATTTTAAATAAATAACTATACACTTACTTGGCATATGTCGCCTTCTGTCCAGCGGTATCGGGATCCTCGTAGCTTACCCAGAGACCGGGTTCACCGCTGTCGTCGGGTAGACGGAAAGCGTATGTTCCTGAAAATTGTTCATTGTAAATATGATCTTAGGCTATTAAAGAAGTGCAAATAAAAGCGCGTGATGACACAAACTACAGTGCTGGTTTGTTATTTTATAATACATAATTCTAATGTACTCAATAAATACGTAAAACTATTAGTCTTTAAAACTTTTAAGCAATGATCCTACAAATATACTTTATAGAAATTTTGGACAGTACAGTAACATAAGCTATACACAAAATACACTTATTATTGGCACTGTTCTAACTTCTATCCTATTTTATTAATCTATACCAACACCATAACAAAAGCGAAAAGCTTATCAGGAGTACCAACCAAAAAAGTCTCCATCCTTTGTTAAGCCCTTGTCTGAAAAGTTAAATGTGGATCTAATTCCTAAGAACTCCCAAAGCAATATGCCAAAAGTTAAATCAAATAATTCTGTATGTTTGTACAATGTTTTATATTATGACAGAAGATTCACTTACCGAAACGTTTGCTGGGATCGGTGACCTTTCTTAAATGAGGACGCATTCCTTTTTGGTTGTTAGGGTTGATGAGTTTGGCGCACACTTCAGGGTAGCTCAGTATACCCTCAGTTTTGGTGTAGGGTCCTTAAAAGAAGAATGATAATTAATTGGGATGACATTCATAAAGTGTGTAAGTTTCTAGACTGTCTATTTGTTTTCTATCCACCATATTTAAAATTAACTAAATTGAAATATAGACAATCTTTTAAAATAAAACTATATTTTTGGATTATTTCGCGTATTTATTAGGTTTTTGGTTTCCGACGTTGCAAATGCTTCAAAGCAATCATGGTCGGGAGAGACCATGATTATATAATGTCATATATAACGTCAAATATTTGCGTAAATCTAAGAAAGTATCTATTATAGACAACCATGTTGATTTAATATTCAGTCCCAAAATCTCGTATAGCGCAATAAACTAATTCCAAAAGGCATTCACTCCATATTGTAGCTATCTAGAACATACAAATTTCAGAGATGAAGAAATTTGTTTTTATCTTTTACAACAATTTCAAACAATTTTATTATTTTCTAAAGCCACGTGAGATGAAGTTATAGTCAGCCATTAAACGTCATTTACTATTTAGTGTCAATTGTCCAATTCAATTTATTTCAACTCACCAGCTTCACCGGCTCCATCAGTGTGAATTGGTGGCACGCCGGAAATTTCACTGTCTGAGTCGAGCTTCCACGTACGAGCGAATGTCGCGATACCTACTACGATTTTACTACTTGGTGCACCAGCGGTCAGCCTGGAAAATTTTTAGAGGTTAGCTAACGTTATTCAACAATTATTATATTTTTCAGTTTCTATTAATTATATTACATAAAAGATGTGATATTTACACTTATTATTACATATCTACTTAATATATTAAAGTAATACGCACTGGGCTCAATTAAGTATACAAACATTACTCTTGTATATAAAAACTATGTAAAAATAAATAAATATACCAGTAGGAAACAGCGGCGTCAACGTTCAAGTGTTCATTACGGTTTTGTGGCTTGTATGTAGGTGCTGTGTAGTCAGCCTCTTTAGGGTTCCTTTCTGGTGTCTGATAGTCATAGGCGTTAAGATTGACAATATCTACCAAGTTAATGATAGCAGGGACGTCGTAGTAAACTGTAAAATAAAACTTATATCAGAGTCTGTAAAATTATATTTTTAGATAAATTTTAGTATAAATTAAAATAGCAATCAGTTATTCGAAATATTTAGTTTTGTATATATGGTAAACGTATTGCAGCTATAATAAAAAAATTATGATACTATAATAATATAAATTAAATATTGTGAAATTGATTTTTTTTTTCTTGAAATTCACAATTGGTGAAAATATTGCTCACAAAAAATACCTATACCAAATTAAAAACCTTGACATTTTAAAGTTAGTTAAAAATATTTTACTTAAGTATTTCTTAAATAAGGCCTAAAGTAAACTTACTGCTAGCATTAACATTGGGTAGGACGGAGATAGAGAGCTGCATGTTTGGCTTCAAGTTCAAAGCTGCCTTCATTTCCCGTACAAGAGCAGTGAATCCTTCACGATGTTCAGACTCCTTTTCATCAACGGGAGTAGTGCCAAACGTCTTCTTGATACCATGCCAGACAGATCCTATAATAATTTTTAATTAGTCTCGATGCTAAAAACATGGTTTTTACAATAATATCAGTATTTTAGATTGACTTTTGATGTGAAGCTTTCCAAAAATATCAAAATTGTATGAACAAACATAAAAATAATTATTATTTTAAATTATAACAACTCTAATGCAGTATACAGATACATAAAATTGTAATACTGATACATTATATAAATATATTTATTATTGATATGTATCAAATTTCTCAAAGCCTTCATACCTGTAAAGGTATTTTATCAACCTAAAGACGTTAACATACAGTACTTAGTAATTTATTACAAGTTATTTACTAACCCCAAGTGGAGCGAATCTTCTTAGGCTTGATCCTTGGGAACTGCCACGCTAGGTCAATACCATCGAAACCATGTTGTTCCGCCAATAATACTCCTGAGTTCACAAATGCAGTGCGAGCTTGTGGCGATTCGAGCTATAGTCCCAAATATAAATAAAAATTAAAAATCTCATTTAAACATCTATACATATAATAAAATATTAACTAAGTCAAATCTGTATATTCTATATTTTCTGGAAAATCTTATTTAAAAAGTCATTATTCGATACAGAGGCTGAATGTACAGTTTTAGAATTTTTGTCTGTCGGTCTATCTGAGAACGTATCACGAGAAAACCACTGGACAGATTTTGAATAAAACTTGATATGATGATAGCTGGTTATCCGGATCAACATATAGGATACTTTTTACTGCGAGAAAATATCATATCTCTGAGAAATCTATACTAAACGTTAAAACGTAACTGGGGACAAATCCGAGCGGAATGAGCGTGAGTCAGGGAATATTTTATGGCGATTATTAATCTCACAAAAACAACTATGGTTTTTAGTTTATATCTAAATCGCTTGATTAGTACAAATAGTGCAAAAAGTAAGCAAGTGGAATATAACGGAACTAAGAGCAAAAGCAATTCATACGTAAATAAATATGTCTCGTTAAATATTATAGTACCAGTTAGCTAAAGTAAAACGAAAGCAAGTCATACAAATATTCAAATGGAAATAACAGTGTTTGAATAATATAGTATTTTAAGTGTATACATATTATTTCTAGCAGAAGCTATTAAATCTAAGTAAATCTCGTCACGCTCGTTGCCTTACGTAGTTTAATATTTTAGTTTGTAAAATTCATGTTTTCAATAAATCTATCGATTTATTTTCTTATGAAAAAATATATCTGTATCAAAAAATTCCAAACTAGTCCGTTCCGATAGTATTGTTAATATGAAACTACATTTTCTAAGGATCTATATAAAGTTTTCTAGATTTTCTTCTATCTAGACCAGTACTATCAGTTAATATCTAAAAAATAGACTCATGATAAGTTTTCTGTACATATAACTCTTTAGACTTCTAAAATAATTTTAGAATATCTTGTCTAAGCCCATTAAATATGATTCATAACAATAACTAAAACTTATTACTTAACAAACAATCAAGATGCAGCATCTATTTTTTATAGAGATCAGTATCTCTATAAATTCGAGATCCTTTAGACGTTTACAGCGTTTCTAACAAATCTCTTTGCTAATTATTAAAGAGAAAGCAAACTTAACCATAGAATGTGCAAGATCTAATTAATAATAATTTGGAGAACACAAACTTTGTTAGAAATACAAATGAGTCTAGTAGTTTAATTGAAAGTTATTTAATTGCTTCCACAGTATATGAAAATATATTGCGTAAGTTTAAGTTTAGTACACTACGATGAACACTAAACATTGCGAAATTATTTAGCACATCTCTTACGTAGTGAATTCACGTAACTGTTCAACATAATCACAACACAACAAACATATTATATTAAATAAACAAATATTTATGATTTTATATCAATTCTATCTATTCGTTATTTCGTGCTCCTATAATTTTTCATATATAATTTACTAATGACTCTACATTTCATTCACATTTATATCATGAAAATTCTCAAAATGATTTTATCTAATTAATTCAGAAATATCACAATCCATATATTCACAAAAATGTTGATTAATATTTATAAAATAATAATTAATCACTCTTTCTATTAAGCAAAACCGTAAAAAAATCCTTTCAGTGGTTTCCGAGATTAGCACAAATAAAGACAAATTCAGCGCAACGTGGGAATCATATGGGAAAAACCCTCAATATCCAGTATAAAATAATAATTAATTTATAGTAGAGGAGCTCAAGGGGCGATTTTTGGATTTACTCAAGCGCGGCACATTAACTTATGGGGGGAATGCTTGTACTCTGTTGAGTACCTCCACCATAATATAAGTCCTCTATATAAGGGCATGCGTCTAGGTCAGCCGATCAAAATATTTAAAAAATATTTTGATAACGTAGAAATACTTGAAACTATCAGATTAAGGTATCGTGGGCTTATTACATTTTGAGAAGTATGCAATTCAATAATCTGCCGATTTACACAAGCCTAAGAGGCAAAAATTTATGTAGGTATACAACAGAGTGCAAAGTATCCCCCCTTATGTTAATCTGCCGCGTTTGAGTAAATCCAAAAATCCACTCTTGAGCTCCTCTACTATCAGGATGCTGATGAGATACTTCGACTCTGCAGTGTATCGTTAACTTTCACGAAAGCACATTCTGATAGTTTTGCAACCATTGACAGTAAATTAATGAGGAAACGAGCTGCTTCCTTTCTGCGCACGTTGAGGGGCAGCCCTTAATATAATTATCAACAAATATGATTTCCCTCTTCATATATAATATATAACTTAATGAAAACAAACCTACTGACATAGTTTATAAGTAGATATATGCAGTGATTTACTATAACATATCACAACTTATGGATATTTTCTGAAATAAATGATTATTATTATTATTAAAATAAAAACATACCAGCAAATTGTATTTTTGTTGCTCTTCAATATCGGCATCTCCGCCAACTGACAGCAACACTTTAAGACCAGGGTACTTCGTTTTGAAGTTGGTAATAGTTCTATAGTTTGCGTGAGTGCGGTCAATATCCAAATTTTCGTTCAACGAGATCATCTTGTACGTGTCAGGCTGAACCCCAGCATATCCGTAGACCAAGTGGGTGCAGAAAGATAACGCAGGATCCAAGTCCATAGGCAGCATGCGAGCTTGAGCTGGATAAATGCATCCCTCAACTTTATTTTTATGCTAAACTTCTTGTTATACAACTTACTTGCTAATAATGCTATTATTTTTAATAAACGTATATTATATTATAAAGACTTCTATTTTCACTCGACATTGCTGCTGCTGCGAAGCCCAAATGACGGTTGTGTTTGAATTGTATGTATGGCCGATCTTACGTTTCCTCGTAATTAATAAACGGCTTAACCGATTTTGATGATTCATACATTTTTAGATTTGTCTTGATAACGAGATTGCCATGGGGTATATGGATATTATTAAATTTCAAAATGGCAGATTTTAGATGTCAAAATGTGACTGGATACATTTTTTTCAAATCTGTCGAGTGGAGTATAAAAATAAAGGTTATAAGTTTATTAAAAGTTTTATCATTTAACACCACCACGTGAATTTATAAAAAAATAATTAAATTTCTAAGAAATCTATTGTTAATTGTAGCGCCGGCGTGTCCGCGGTCGTGGAGGGATAAAAACAATTTTATGGCACTCACGACCATATAGTATCAAAGTATGTATGTCAATGTAAAAGAAAACTTATATAATCTATAGTGTAAGCATATTAATTATATCAAAATCAGAATTTTCTATAAATTATATTTTAAACTAGCCGAATGGGGACACCTCTCCCACTTTTAAAGTCGAATAAAAAGTAGTCTACGTATTATGTCAAGATCCGGTTATTAACCATTGCTGAGCAAATTACTTTACGACGGAGAAACCAACAGATGCTATTTCGCAATTTTTATATTAGCAAGGGAAAGATAATATTTATAAAGATTATGTTATCTATACTAAAATTATAAAGAGGTAAAGTTTGTGAGTGTGTGACGTTGTAGGGGTTAATCTCTGGATCTACTGAACTGATTTAGATGAAATTTGGTAAAAAGATTGTGTGCGACCCTAGAAAGGATATGGATACTTTTTATCCCGGAAATCATACTTTAAGGGGTTGAAAATGGGGATGAAAGTTTGTATGGGGAATCAAGCTAGGGACGAACCCGAGCAAAGCGAAGGTGAGTCGCTAGTCTAAAAATAAAACAGAAGAACAATAGCAATTTAAATGAACGTAGGCGTAGAATTCAGCGTATACATGGTACTGTACATATTTCCTTATTAACCACTTAAAACACTAAGTACGCAGGATCTACAGTTGAAATGTGACGCTTGTTCTCTTTATGTTTCTGTATATGACGTAATCGAAGTGAGAATGAAGCACTACCCACCAGTTAAGGCCAGTTGAAAATTGCATAAACATCTCAGTTATATTTCAATTACTAGCGGCTCACCCTCGCTTCGCTCGGGTTCGTCGCTAGGTACGTTTTAAATAGATATAAAAAGAAAAAATCTTTCTTTCTCACATTTTAATTATATGTTTTAATACTTACCTATTCCGGACTAAGAGAAATCCAAAAATTAAAATATCATAAAAATTGGAACGCGGTCGAACGGGATAAAAAGTATCCTATGTCCTATCCTTCTCCTGGCTCTAAACTACCTCCCTGCCAATTTTCAGCTAAATCGGTTCAGCCGTTCTTGAGTTATAAGCGAAGTAACTAACACGACTTTCTTTTATATATATAGATAATAACGTTGTTGGTTTCACTTCATACATATTTGAGTAAGCCACTTCATATAATCAGGTTTCTTTTTGTTTCAAAAGAATTTCGCGAAAACTTTACACATGATGTACCTAGTTATAACTTTCACTAAGATGAAATTCAAATGAATATTCAAATCCCGAGTCCCGCATTTTTGATATTTTCATGTGCGAATCATTTCCAACATGATCACCACTTGTCTTATGGTGAAAGAAAATATCGTGAGGAAACCTCCATATCTGAGAAACCTAGCAAGTTTTCGAAAGATATGTGAAGTTCGCCAACCAGCACATGGCCAGCATGGTGGACTTGGCCTCATCCCCCTAAAATGGAAGGCAGGCCCGTACCCAGCAGTGGGATAAAAAATAAATAAATAAATAGGATAAGGCAAATATATTAATTTCTAATCATTTCCATATAATCTGATCGTGTCCATATAAATTAATCGAAAAAACGAGTAGCTACAATATATAGACTAAATTCTTATAATAAGACATAACAATATATTGAAATATAGGGAAGAAGTAATCGAACTTCAAAACATTTACAAGCGCAATACTCTCTGTAATACAGTTTAATATGCTTATACCGTAAATAATTATGTTAACTGTATGTTCATTAGTGACTAGATATCTCATTCATGAACAATTATCAAACACAAATCATATTAAAATATTAGTGTCTATTAACCCTCTGAATATGTCGAGGAAATTTTAATTTAATCACGCTTTTCATGTATACATAATATATGTACGCACGTATATACGTTTATATATATATATATATATGGCTCACAGGACACCCATGTCTGCAGAGCCGGATTCAAACTTAGCGCCGCCCCTGGTCATAATAAAAAATGCCGTCAAAAAAATAATATCACCTAAAAATATTATCGAAAATTTGCATAAAATTGGTAAAGTTTTGATAAAGTTTTTTTTTTAATTATATTTTTTTTTTGATAAATGTAAAAAAAATAATTTATAAATAAATGATTTCAATTTTTCGAAAAATGTAGGTACCTACTTGTTATTGCTTTTATATATACTATTTCTATCTGTTCGTCTGTTTAAATCCTTACTAGATCGGCTACTAGAAAATATCTATTTACAACATTATGCATGTATACTCAGATGACCATGGTACATGATAAAGGTCATTTATAATTCATTCAATCACATAATACTGCTTGTAATGATTTTATAAATATGGTATAGTAAGTAGCAAGCAAATAATTTTTGTAGTAAGTAAAAAATAGGTTTCTAAATGGCATTGTCCACTGATAAGGGTTAAAAACTTGAGTACAGGTAAAAGATAATATTTTTCTTAGTATATATTTAAAAAAATATATTCATTATTGATTAATTTTTCAAAAAAATCATTGTTATTGCCACTTTTTATATTTTCGTTCTCAACAGAATCATCTATTCTATACATACAATAAAAGTGTAACTGTTCGCTGTCTGTAGATGGAAGATATTTGACAAAAAAATTATTGGTGGTCCTTATTACCGCAATAGAACCCATAACAATATTTTTTAGAATTTTTGTCTGTTTATTATTATAATTTTGTCTGTCGGTTTATAAATAAAAAGTTATGTGATTTAAATAATAAGTATAAAGTATTTAATAAAAGATTGTAAACCATATACTATTCAAAATAATTCAATGAACTTAAAAGTTATAGCTTAGCAACAACAATAACGTTTTTGTTATAAAAATTAATGATAACTTATGACTGCTTTTTTTTAACTATTGATAATGATGAACGAAATTAGATATTGAAGTCAAACGAAAAGAAAAGATTCGTAAGTAAAAAATTTATATATCTGTACATGTAAGAACATTCTGAGTGGAATCAGTACATTAAATAATTTTTGGAAAATCGTATTCAAATACTCATTATTATCGATACAGAGGCCAAATCTATAGTTTTTAGAATGTCTGTCTGTTTGTCAGTCTGTCTGGGAATGCTTCACGAAAAACAAACTGGAAAGATTTTGATGACATTTGGTTTGATAATAGCTGGTTATCCGGGTCAATATAGGATATTTTTACTACGGGAAAATATCCAATCTCTGAGAAATCTATACTAATCATTAAAACATATAAGAGGATATAAAAGTAAAAAAAGAAAAAAGAAATCCTAAAATTAAATTTTGATTAAACTACTATAAATTTTTTATGTAAAATATAATATCTAATTTTATTAAGTTTTCTCACTAAACACGTATCAAAATTTATTTTATACCTATAAATAACAACATATTTCTGAGAAGTTCTGGAAACGATTTATTTGTTTGACTTATCTTCTAACCTAACCTCTGGCATATGCGATATGGAGGTCAGCTCTCAACTGTGTAATTGTGATTAATTAATCATCTTCACAATTGTTACTAATACCTCTTATCATATGGGGTCAAATCCTGTAAACAACATTCTTCTATCTATGCATATATATGTATACGTAATGGTAAAATATTTGTCTGTACGTGTGTCTGTCTGTGAACATTAATATAAAAGTTGTAGGGGTTTTAAAACAGTTTTTTCATATTTTATAGTTTACAAAAACGTAGGTTTGCTACTTGGGAATCGATTAATCAATATATCAAATGAATTTTTGTAATATTCTAAATTGTCAATTACTATATTAGAAATCAAAACACTTTAGAACGTAATATGCCATATACACTCGTAGATGAGAATATATATAAGAAAATAATCAGTAAAATCAAAATCCAATAAAATCAATCTCCTGTTTCTTTATCGAAGACGCTGAGAAAATTAAGTTGGTAGTTGTTTGATAAAATACAACATGTCGTTACATGTCGCAGGAAAATAGGTTTAGTCTACATAAATAATATACGAATAAATATTATGTAATTATTTTTTCGGGTTATCTATACATTTAATAAAATTTTCATTAAGTCGAATCTGTAAATGAAATATTTTTTGGAAAATCTAATTGAAATAGACATTATTATCGATACAGAGTCCGAATCTATAGTTTTTAGAATTTTTGTCTGTCTGTCTGTTACCGCATCACGAGAAAATCACTGGACAGATTTTGATGAAATTTGGTATGATGATAGCTGGTTATCCAGGTCAACACATAGGATACTTTTTACCGCGGGAAAATATCTCATTTCTGAGAAAAAATACAAAAACTGTATTTTAATTAATTCAATATGTAAAACCTAAGAATTTGGTTTTCGGTTATCTGAATGCGGACGGAGCCGCGAGAAATGCTAGTCTAAGTAATAAAATTGAAATGGAAACTTTTGTATAAACAGAAATTACGTAAAGAAATCGAGCTACTGTTGCTTTATAGTAAGAGATTGCTTATATATGACTTTTATGAAAAAAATTATATTTGGCAGGGAATAAAACATTTTTTTTAGTTATACAATTTTATATGATGTGTGGAGGTTCATGTCTGATAGAATGCTCATCACTTGTAAGCAGTCGTAAAGCAAATTTGATTTAGGCAAGTGTCTAAATAAAATAAAATGAATCTATGAAAGATCATTGAAATAAAAAGAAACTTCATACAAACAATATCTAGAATAAGATAAAAGAGAAAAAAGAACTGATACATTAAAGTATAAAAAATATTATGTTAAAGCAGCCTTTGATATTTTTTAATAACATTCGAGCGCCAGCAATAAATATTAGCTAATTGAGGTCGGAATCTTGTTTGACAAAAGCCTTATATATTGTTAAAGGTAAAATACATATGTGTAAGCATTTTCCTCCACTTCTAAACTAGTTTATTAGTAAGCAAGATTATAAAGGTTATAAAAATGCACTATATATTATACAGAAACTATAGTTCTTACGTAACATGATATATAACGTCTAAGGTCAAAGAATGATCATTAAAAGAACTTGTGAGTTGAGTCAAGATTTTTTTTCCATTAACATAATATTCTCTATGTAATTTGACCCAAGACGATGATGGGGTATCGTGTTACAGAGAATTTTACCTAATAGCCATAAATCAAAGGCGTCTTGGGTCAACTTGACATAATATATGAACAAAAATATGTAGGACCAACTTTTATTTTGTTCTATAGTTATAATCGTTTAAACGACGTTTTATTAAGCACAGGCCGTGAATATTATAAAAATACGTAAAATTCAATTAAGCTAGGAGATAGAAATACGCGTATTTCTATCAATATTTGTATAGAATATTGCAAAAGTTAAATTTAAAAATTAAAGGCCATATTTACATCATACACGATAAACAACCTCGTAACAGTTTTATCACCTATATGTAAATGTTGATATTTTAAAAGGGGATCGTTGATACATATGTTATAATCACAGCTTTATATATTCTTGAATAAAAAATCATATAATAACTAATTATAGTAATTAGAACTTTATAGTATATATTTTTTTCGTAATCATTTCTAGCATTAACATGGTTTCCTTTAATATGGCAAATATCAAATATCAAAATATTTTTTTTTAATATATTCTATAACAAGAGGATATATGGCTGATCTTGATAACTCTGAGTAAGATGGAGCTGAGATCCTTGACCCTAGAACGTTCTAGGCCGTATACAAAATACAATTTCAAATAAACATGAATAAGTTATCTTAAATAACAGTTTTTATTTTATCGTAAGCAGTTAAAGTATTCCTTATTTTCCTATTTACGTAGCAATTACTAACAGCAAGTTTATATTGATAAGGTGAGATTGTTAAAGCCAATTATTTTCGTAGTACGTACAAAAGTTTTGTGAAGATTTTTTTTTTTGTGGGGTAACCTTTATGATTTTTTATGGTTTTCAAATTCTTTGTTCAAACAAACTGATACCTACCCACCCCCATATATTAAAGGATTTTGCTATAGGTGAAACAATTACTATTGAAACTTAGACGTTTAAATTGGATCTTATAGCTTTTGAATCATTGATTAACTTATAAATTATTCATCACACGGCGCTTTCAGAAGTTTCTAAACCTGTTTCGAATGCAAACGAAAATCGCTAATTGTATATCTAAGCGCTCAGCAAAATTTATTAAGTTTTAATTAAAAGTTTAAAGGAAAAAAAAAAGAATATTTTCATATAAACATTCGCATATAAACTTACATTCTCTGACATAGCTCTTGCTGTCGTAATAGCAGATGACTTTGCTTTGAGAAGTGGTGGAAGCCGCCCCGAAGGCGAAGAGTGCCAGCAACGGTATTAAAGCCTTCATGTTTCTTGTCCACGTCTGATCACCACGAAGCCTATGTGGCGAATGAAATGTAGTTAGCCAACTGAAGTATAGCTAACCAGCTAAGATGACCGCGACAATCGGAGAAGGTCAAAGATTAGTAATCTGTGAACACGTCGATTGTTTATTTCTCGATATGCCCATGACAATCTGCTGACCGGCAGTTGTGGGTCACGTATAACCATATTTTTTCTCTACATTTAGCAGAATTTATTGTGTTATTTAATAGTTACAATGTTTTTTTGGGAAAAATGTTGTTTTGCGAAAAATTTGTTTTAATTTATCTCTTGGAATCAGAAAGAATCATGAATCTCTAGGAAGTTTAGTAATTATATATTTGAGCTTGTGAAACTTTGAATTATGGTAAATAGAACTAAAGTACTGACCATCAAAAGGAACTTAAAACTAAAATCTAAAAGAAACTTTAATAAAATTTATGATCGCAGGTAAATAACTTATTTAGTGCTTCAATCAGCGTCATTTTTAGTCTTTGATAATTTTGGATGATGTCATCGCGCCGTAATAAGTTAAATGCTTTAGCACAACCACCTTTTTAAACTTTATTTACAGGTCTTATTACGAAATAGCTGAACGTGTTTATTATGAATATTAAATCTGAGAAAGCCCATTTTGGAGAGCTAATATTGCCCTACCATAATACCTACATTCTCGATTTTTCCTTATTTACCTACAGAAACTTTTGAATAATAAGTTTTATTCCCTCTGTTTAAAATAAATATTATACACAAGCGACTCACCCTCGCTTCGTTCGAGTTCGACCATAGGTTGCTTCTCCGTAAAAACTTTCATCCCAATTTTCACCCCTTCAAAGGATGATTTCCGGGATAAAACTATCCTTTGTCCTTCCCTGGATCTCAAACTATCTTCTTACCAAATTTCGTTTAAGTCGGTTCAGTAGTTTCGGAGCTAATTCGGTACAAACAAACAACCAAAAAAATATTTCCACTTTTTAATATTAGTATAGATAATATAATATTTATTGTACATTTAATTTGTAATTTAACTTCAAAATAATTTCAACAATATTGTGTTGTATGTACTATAAAATAATTAGCTTTACGCTTTAGGTGTAAAATGCGAATCATATGAAACACTCAGTCATGCCTTAACTGATTCTAATACAATATATTTTATCAAAATATTCTCACGTATATAAGTTGTCACATTGGACTATGACTTTGCTTGCGTTCGTTTGTTCGAAAGCTGAAGGATTTTTTAGCGAAATCTTAAATATAATACATATGTACATATTATATAATCGAAATTAACTGTCTGTTTTTATTTTAATAAAATTTCAAACAAATATAGTTTATTTTCTTGGAGAAAAGAACGAATTTACGAATACAAAATGCGAGTTAACCGAAAATATACGTTCTTACTGTTAATATACGGAAATTACGTGATTGAATGTTTTCGCATATGTGTACATGTTTTATTCGGATAGTATGAAAGAGATAAAAAATCTAACAAAAGATTTAGATTTCTTCTTTAACATATTGAAACTTAAAACAGCTTAATTTTCGTAAATTAATTGTAGTATAGTAATTTACATTTGTTATTGGATTATTCGTCCTGTCAGTAAAAGAAAATCTTGGAATTCCGACACGAAATATTAGTCAAATAGTACTGCTTGATTATAATGATAATGTTTCAAAAATTGAATTAAGTTCCTTAAAATATTTGGAACTTCGCAACACAGATCTACCTCAGTTAATTCATTAGCAACCTTGATATCGTAGTTTAAGCACTTATTGAACAATCAGACCGGTTGATTGATTCTCAATTATCGTGTCGATTTCCTTACGTTGATACTCGTAAATACAATTTGTGTTTTATATATATATATATATATATATATATATATATATATATATATATATATAGCTTTTTAACTTAATTCGTAATATGTTAGATGTATTTATAGTACCCGTTGTGCATATCTTTTATTATTCTCTTTAACTTTTATTCTTTATCCTTTCTTCTTTTTTAGTCTTTAGCAAGTATCAAGAGTGTCTACACCGCAGTGTGGTAACTGATAAGTTATATACTTGTTAGGAGGCCCATCCCGGTGGTCGGGAGTTCAATACCCTTTCGAGGCAAAAATTTGCATTGGTGAAAAATTAGTAAATGCAAACGCCCTTTAAGTAATACTGTTTAGACATTTAAATATATCGTGAAAACAAACTACGAAAGCAAACTACGTGATACTGAAAATTGCTTAGTCACATAATATTTTCAATTTTGTTTTTATGTTTTCATTGTGTTACTGGTAATGTTATTTTTTAACCGGCAAAGCCCAAGGTAGGTTATGTCTTTGACTTATATGTATTATCTAATATCTATCCCATCTTTTTAATGTAGTTTTTACGCAGTCGGTATTTCTATTTTTGGAAATTATACGTATTACATCTAACCATTAATAATAATTAATAATATAAGATACACTGTACTGAAATATAATTTAGATATTTTTTTATATAATAATAAGATATTTTTTAAGTAATATTATTATATAATAATTAATATGTATATTTTCTATTTATTAATATACTTGAGACACACTCGTTCCGTCCCTAGTTACGTAATACATTTTAATGTTTAGTATTCTCATAGATAAGATATTTTCTTGCAGTAAAATGAAATACATATTGACCCGGATAACCAGCTATCATAATACCAAATTTCATAAAAATATGTCCAGTGGTTTTCTCGTGATGCGGTCACAGACAGACAAACAAAAATTCTAAAAACTATAGATTCGGCCTCTGCATCGATAATAATGACTATTTCAATAAGGTTTTCCAAAAAATATTTAATATACAGATTCGACTTAAAATTTTACTATATGTATAGATGAAAATAAAGTATCTAATAACTTTACGGTTATCTACATACTTTATCAAGAGAAACATCAATAATAAATAATAATTAAATATCTCGGGGCTTCCCAAAGTATTGGAGCTATCTTCTATACCTAAGCAATAATATCGCAGTGGGGTCAAAGTTGTATTTTAAGGATTTTGTAACTTTTAAGAAATTTCAGATAGAGGGACGTTTACAATGTAGTTAAAATTACCTATTTTCTATCGCGCAACGCTGGAAAGTATCTCGAGTTACGAGTACATAGTGTAAAGGCAAAAATGAAATCCTTAAATTTCTTAAACACTGCGACCCTCCATTTTTAGACACAGTGTGAAAAAATCTAAGAAAAATTAAAGTTAGTAAATCGTTTTGACGCATATTACCTTTAAAAATATTATTATATCAATATTTTTGACATATGGGATAGGTTCATTAATACGTTTTTTCATTAAGAAACAACTCTCATACTTATTGATCATAAACTAAAAACTTAAAAAAAACCGACCTCCAGGCACTTAAATGTAAAAAATAACTAAACTGAGGTTTTCATTTAAAACCTAATCAGATATTTTCGAAGTCGGTGCCAGCCGATGCAAATCAAATATATTTCGATACGTAAAATACATTAGATATTCATATGTTCAAAAAATTCCAAATCGGTTCAGCCGTTTTCGTGTAATCGGTGAACATACCTACATAAAAAAAAGATTCCGACGAATTGAGAACCTCCTCCTTTTTAGAAGTCGGTTAATAAAAAGAAGTAAAATCCAAAGAGATAAATAGGGAATGAAAACTTTAAATTAGTACTTATAGAATTTCGTCATTTACCTAAATTATGAATAGACATTTAATTTTCTCATTGGCTTGTCTATACATATAATAAAATTGTAACTAAGTCGAATCAGTGCATTAAATATTTTTTGGAAAATCTAATTGAAATAAACATTATTATCGATACAGAGTCCGAATCTATAGTTTATAGAATTTTTGTCTGTCTGTCTGTTACCGCATCACGAGAAAACCACTGGACAGATTTTGATGAAATTTGGTATGATAATAGCAACATATAGGATAGTTTTTACCGCGGGAAAATATCTTATTTCTGAGAAAAAATACAAAAACTGCATTGTGAGAGTATACTAATATGTAAAACCTAAGAATTTGGATTTTAGGCATCTGAACGCGGCAATGCTGGCAATGCTAGTTATACATAAAAGTGTTTAAGAAAAGGTACCTACCTACTTTGATTATTTGGATTACATTTTACGAGTTAGCCAGACCGGTATTAGAGCTCTGAACGAGAACCGGTCTTATTTGCCAATTGTCACTTAGAAATGGTCCCAAAAAGTAGATGTTAAATCAGGTATATTTAATAGCAATATTAAATTCTTTCATTTTTTACTTTCTAGAAGAGTACAACTGTTGATTTTTGTTTACTTCTAAATAAAGTTAGCTTCAGATTTCAAACGTTATTTAAAGGAAATCCTTAATAAGTTTTTCTGTTCCATTTTTAAACGGCCTTCTTATTTTTTAAACATGCAAACCATATCGTTGTTTATAAATGACTTGACTCATGAATAAATTTTCCTTGTTTTTAGATCATACTCTTTTCTTGGAATATACTAATAAGGACGTAGCGTCAACTACATTTACATTAATCAAATATTATATAGACTTTTATCTGTTGTTTACGAGCTTGTTGTTACAGTGACTATCTTCGTGCATTTCTATTTAGTCCGCAAAATCTAAAGTTTATAAATTACTAGCAGAACCCGCGGCTTCGCTCGCGCTAAAACCCTAAAAAAAAAATATCTAAAAAGTTAGTTTCATACATAAGTTCATCTCCAATTTTACCCCCTTATAGGATGAATTTCGAAAAATGCTAAAACTTATAGGTATTTGTTTAAATTTATTAAATCTTTAAATATATAAAAAGCCTTACTACCAAGTTTCGTGTTATACCGAACACAAATACTTTTTGGAATGTATTATAACGGGTTTTCCTGCGGGAATCAGATAATCTCCCGGGGTAAAAAATAGCCTATGTCACTCTCCAGCCCTCCAATTAACTCCACACAAAAATCACGCCAATCCGTCAC